TTGGACTTCCAGAGGCAAGCAAAGAGCGTGTTTTATAGGAAAGGAAAAGGGGGACAAATGGTTTTTTTAAACCTTTTCGTGCTGTTGGAGTGTGAGCAAGTAACATTTATGAAGGGGTTCAGGGGAAAATGGGGGCCGGACTTGAGGCCCGGAGAGGGAAGTACAGTGCCTGCACTCTGAAGGAGGTGGTTTAATGTTGCAGTTTTTTAAAAATTAGTGTAAAGCACCCTTCTGGCAAGACCCGTGATGGAGTGAATGATGGTGAAAGTTTTTCTTTTTCAGGCCAAACCCCGCCTTTGGGGGGAATTGGCCCCGTGGTAAAAAAAAAATTTATAGAATAGTTTAAAAAAAATTTTTTGGGTTTTTTTTGTTTTTGTAAAAAATTTTTTTTAAACAATTACTGTTTAAATTTTGTTTGTGTGCTTATTGTTTTTTTTTTTGGGATACAAAAAAGTGTATATAGTAAAATTTCACCTTACCTTTTGGGCTCACAGGCCCAAAAAGTAACGTGAAAAAAAAAAATAGTGAAAAAAAAAAAAAAACCCCTTTAAAACAAGTAAACCAAAGTTTACCCGGGGGGAAGGGGAAGTCGCCCCGGGTTTCCCTACCGGGGTCATTTTCTGCAAACTTCAGCCTCTATATCTCGGTTTAAATATGATGGCCAAAAATTTTTTTTTTTTGGGCTTAAAAAAAACTTTTTTTTTTTTCCCCCAAATTTTGCGACAAAGAAAAGACAGTTTCAGAAAGGGGCCCCGCGACAGCAAAAAGGGGGTAATAAAATCGAAAAGGAAATATGTTCTGCTCCAAATTTAAAAAAGCCCCAAAACGGAATTTAATTTCATGAATGTTGTCACTAAAGCACTTTGAGATTTATCTAAGCGCTTCTTCATTCCCAGTAAAGGTGTTCAGTGACCATAGTCCAGTTCCTTATGTTAAATACATGACATCAAGTACGTGATGTATTATGTAATAGGCTCTTAGAATACAGCTGTTTAACATTTCAATTTGTTATCTTAACCCTTTCAGGGTCCATTCTGTAGATCTACGGCTTTACGTTCAGGGTCCAAACCATAGATCTACGCCAAAATTCTAGCGGCGTCAAATTTAGCACGAGAAGGCTGGTAGGTCTACATCTGCGAAAATGGGTCTGGGTGGTCAGTGTGCACACTATAGAAAAAATCTGGACGCACGCATGGCAATGTGGGAATACCGGCAAAGTAGCTTTGTTCATTGTGCCTGGCGGCAAGGAAGCTCTCACTCCCCACTCACTCTCTGGGTGAATTCTGACTCTCCTCTTCACAACTTACAGTTCTAAGACTGATGGAAGTGGAACTGAAGATGAATTCTATGGTTTTGAACCATATGGTACCATTGTGCCACATGGTACAATGGTACCATACGGTACAATGGTGCCATGTGGTACAATGTACCATATGGTACAGTGCCATATGGTACATTATACCATATGATACAGGGTACAGGGACCCTATTGGAAATAAATCTGTCTGACTTTTTTGGGTTATACCTACCATCCGACTTACGAACGAGTTCGGTTCCAAGAAATCGGTCGTAAGTCGAAATGGTCGCAAGTCGAACTTTACTACTGAATATCAACAAAACATTTTTGTAATGACTTTATTTTGTTTTATTTTGGTATTTCATGTTTTACTTTACTTTTTATGTTGTTAGTACTGTATTTTATACTGTAAGGTTTAGGATAAACACTGTGTACAACACAAATAGTTGTTTATTTCCCAGAAATTTGGCATAAAAAACATGGTCGTAAGTCGAGTGGTCGTAAGTCGAGCAGGTTGTAAGTTGGATGGTAGGTGTACTAGGTTCTCCAAACATATGCTGCTAAGTATTATATTCTATGTAACTTTATTTGTGTATACCTAAATAAACTTACTTATGATGCCACATGCACTTGAGTAAGTTTATTCAGGTGTACAGAAATACAATTACATGGATTATCATACACAGCAGCAAACGTATAAAATCCTAGGATAACCCAAAAAAGTCAGGGTGACTTATTTCCAAAGGGATCCCTGTATCTGTACCATATGGTGTCCTGTACTGTATGGTACCCTGTACCATATGGTACCCTGTGCCATATGGTACCCTGTGCCATATGGTACCCTGTGCCATATGGTACCCTGTACCATATGGTACCTGTACCAATGGTACCCTGCACCATATTTTAAATCCTGTACTGCATGGTACCCTATACCATATAGTACAATGTACCAAAAGGTACCCGTAACATATATACCGTGTACCAATGGTCAATAGGTGTTAGTGGCATGAGACACCAGCCAAGACGATGGCGATGCAAGCTAGCTACTGACTCCGCATTTTTCCGAGACAAAGCTCCACCTCAAGGAACATGTCGAGTTCCTGTACATTTGTAAATATATAATAGAACATTACTATTATACAACATTTTTGCATATTTTTGTTGTAAACAACTATTTTAAACAAAATTTAATGAAAATATTAGTGTATTATTGGGGTTGAATACAACAGTACCATATAGTACCATATGGTACAATGAGCCATATGGTATCATTATACTGTATGGTACAATGTACCATATGGTACCATTGCACCATATGGTACTATTGCACTATATGGTACCATAAGGTACAATTGCACCATATGGTACCATATGGTACCATTGTATCATATGGCACCATTGTACCAAATGGTACCATTGTATCATATGGTACCACTGTATCATGTGCCAGTGTACCATATGGTACCATTGTATCATATGGTGCCATTGTACCATATGGTACCATTGTATCATATGGTGCCATTGTACCATATGGTACCATTGCACCCTATGGCACCATATACATCAAATACATATACATCAATGATCTTCCAAACGTATCTCAACACCTGAACCCCATTCTCTTTGCTGACGACACGACTTATGTCATCTCTCACCCTAATCTTGCCACCCTCAACACCATTGTTAATGAGGAGCTGATCAAAATATCAACTTGGATGACAGCCAATAAACTTACGCTTAACGCTGACAAAACCTACTACATTATGTTTGGTAGCAGAGCAGGAGATGCACAAATTAACATTAAGATTGACAACACTCTAATTGCCAGGCATAATGAGGGCAAATTTCTAGGCCTATACCTCGACAACCTGAACTTCAGCACCCATATCCAACACATAACCAAAAAAGTATCCAAAACGGTTGGGATCCACTCCAAGATACGATACTATGTGCCGCAAACTGCCCTTCTCACACTATACCATTCACTTATATATCCATACCTCACCTATGCTATCTGTGCTTGGGGTTCAACTGCAGCAACACACCTAAAGCCAATAATAACCCAACAAAAAGCCGCAGTAAGAATAATCACTAAATCCCATCCCTGGCAACACACCCCCCCCACTCTCATAGATCTAAACTTACTCCCTTTCATACATCCACACTTACTACTGTGCTTTCCCTACATCTACGGGCCCTTTAAAATTTCCCCAATATTAACCTTGACCTAAAATGCTTTCTTGATAGTTGTGACAGAACCCACAGGCACAACACCAGACACAAACATCTCTATCACATTCCCCGTGTCCGACAAAACCCTTTTACAAAAATTTAATGTATGTCAAAGGCCCTAAAATCTGGAACACCCTACCTGAAAATTCAAAAAACTGCAGACACATTCATAAACCTTAAAAAACTACCATCAGAAAACATCTTATCTCCCGATACACCCTGTCAACTAATTACATGAGTACCACCTGGTGGTTCACACTTACACTCACTCACCCATTTGACCATAAACAGAAATATCAATCTCAATCTCAAAACAATGAATCTTAACTAGTCATAATTGGCCTGTGATACCCCAAAATACTGAAACTATGTATAGTGCCAAAACAAAAGCATTCACATTGCTAAACTCACAAACTAGTATTTAGTCACTTAGCCATAATACCAACTTACCTCATAATTTTGTAATATTTTAAACTTAAGATTTAATCTAAGTCTGCCCGAAAATGCCTAGCCATGCTAGGTTGTTCTAGTGGTACACTTTGTAATTATTATTTTACTACATGTAAACCACACAATAACCAAATTCTGTAAACTCAGCATTGTAATCCTTATAGAGAATAAACTTTGAATATGATACCTTTGTATTCAACACAATAACTGCACTAATATTTTCATTATTTTGTTTACAATAAACTTGTAAACAAGTTTTGTAAGCAATATAATGATAAACAAATTAGTGCAGTTATTGTGTCAAATATAATGAGTGTAAACTTATACAATATACATTATACTGGTCTCACAGGCCACAAATGTTATTAGAAAAATAAAAAAATTAGAAAAGAAAAAAGTATAAAAAACGTAAAATAAAAAAAAAATGGGATTTTGTGGAAGTCACTGATGATGCCGCCACCCAGTCATTTTGGGTCAACTTCCCGCCGCTGTATCTCAGTAAGTACTGATCAAATTTTTTTTTTTTTGGCTTTATTACCTTCACAAAAATATTATTTTTAATTCTGTAAGAAAAAATAATTTTTATTTTTTTTTCAAAATTTCTTGGACACTGGGGCACCACTTCAGATTTCGGCCTTGGACCCTGAAAGGGTTAAAGACTCAGTGCGGGCAAACTGTATAGAGCCCAAGTTATATAAAGTAATGTAACATAATAAGAAATGTCCACAGATTATGCCTGAGAAATGATTAGTGATCCCTGGCAATGTGTTGAGGTTATATATGTGTTGCAAGGCAAATGATTGCTTACAGTACATATATAAGGTACATCACAGAAAAAAGCAAAATTCTCACAAAAATTTAAATATTTTTGTGAAGAAATCTGGCATGTAGCATTCAAAAAGTGTGTAAATTTAACTTTACCTTAGTTTTTCACACTGTATGGCAAATTTCTGATGCCTATATAATTAACTATTATGACTGGTATCTACAACAACACATGTGGCGCAGTCTGGTGAATGCCTGTCAATGATTAAAACATTCTATCTCTGAGCAAATACATTAGAAAATATAGTTATGTAATTCCTTCTTACCTCTCCTTTTGTTCATCCTTGGAGATGACATGCATTAGATATGCAAGATATGTAAGGAAACGACCACCAAAAGTTTGAATTGCTATGAGAATCCCATGGACAAGTGGACGGTATGAAGTGATTCCAACAAAACCTGCACTGATGTCAACAGTTGTTAAACTGTTGCTATTACCCTGAAAAACAGTTGCAAGTTACATTTACTTAGTACAATTATTTTTATCAAGCAGTTACCAACAGTAACAGAGACTATACATGTACAATACAAGGCATGGTGACACCTATTAATCCTTTCAGGGTTTCCGACGTACTAGTATAGCTTAATCGAAAGGGTTTTTGACGTACTAGTACGTGTAAATTCTAGCGCCTTCAAATCTAGTGAGAGAAAGCTGGTAGGCCTACATATGAAAGAATGGGTCTATGTGGTCAGTGTGCAGAGTATAAAAAAAAATCCTGCAGCACACACTGCATGAGAAAAACAACTCTGACCATGTTTTTGATTTAAAACAGTGATTTTGAACTACATGTATATTTTCGTATGCTATTTATGGTTGTATTCTAGTTTTCCTGGTCTCATTTTATAGAGTGGAAGACATACCACAGAAATTGAGATGATTTTGATTGGTTTCACAATGAAAAGTACTTTGAAATTGAGCTCAAAGCAGCAGAAATGTTCGATTTTTGCCAAAGTTCAAAAGTAAACAAATCATGCCAAGCGTCCAATATGCATCAACTGGTGAGTCTAATATTCTTTCACAAGTGTGCTGATATTATTTATACCATTTCTACACCATTTCTATACTAATGCAGTAGTCTGCATAACAGTAAATCTTCTATTTTTTGAGAATAAAAATTCAAAGTGGAAAGCAAAAGAGATGTAAGAGGGGCCTGGAGACGTGGCTAATGAACAGAGAAAAACGTTATTTTAGTGCCAGGAATGTCTGTCTTGTTTATTCTGGACCCTAATTGGAAATTGGCATCTTTTGAAATCTGTGTGAAATTGACAAAATTGCCAATTTCTGACCACTTTATTGGATAGTTAAAATCGGTAAATGGGTGGTTTCTTGTACTCATTCGATAGAAAAGATGGAGTTCTAGTGAAACAGTTATGATTTTTGTCGATTAGTACACTGGAATTGGCTGAAAATAGGGCTCAAAGTGGGCGAAATCGCTGATGCGTTTACACTGTCGAGGCCACTAGCTTCACAAGAGCATAATTCCGTAAGTTTTCCATCAAATTTCATACTTTTGGTGTCATTATGATCGGGAAAAGATTCTCTAACACTCATAAGAAAAAATAATTTTTTTTTGAAAAATTTTTGACCCTGAGGACAAGTTTAGGAGAGGGCCTCTCGACCCAAGAGAAAAAACAACAAAAAATTGAAAAATAAATAAAATTTATGGCTAACCATTTCACTATCATGTCCTCCAAATTAAAAGCCCCTTCAGTGTCACAAATTAAAAATATTCACATAAATAAAAACAAAAATTGGTCAATTGTTTACCAAGATATAGACAGGTGAAGGTGGAGCCCATGATGGCAACACCAGATGATGCCCCACATTGCAAATTGCAACATTTTCTCTTTACACTTTATACTTGCCTTGTTTACACTTTATACTTGCCTTGTTTACACTTTATACTTGCCTTGTTTACACTATACTTGCCTTGTTTACACTTCATGCTTGCCATGTTTACACTTCATGCTTGCCTTGGAGTATACCTGAAGGGCATTTCAAGGGTCAATGCCCTTGTGGCACGGTCCATGACCAGGTTTCGCGGTGGATCAGGGCCTGATCAACCAGGCTGTTACTGCTGGCCACATGTAAATTGACGTATGAACCAAAGCCCAGCAGGTCAGGCACTGACTTTTGGTGTCTGTCCAGCTCCCTCTTGAAGACAGCCAGGGGTCTACTGGTAATCCCTCTTGTGCAAGAAAGGTATAAAATACCGACAGTAAGAAAGTTATGACACATGTGCAACATCTGGATATCTCTGTTGTAGACGTTTTGCCATCCAGTGGCTTTATCAATACAGATAAAGATATCCAGATGTTGCACATGTGTCTTAACTTTCATATTGTCAGAATTTCATCTTTCTTGCACAACTTGTAAAACACTGCAACATCGTGGAATCTTGGTTCAGAGGACATCTACAAGACCTTCTTCATGGCTACTACAACTATCCCATCCCTTTGGGTAGGGCCTACATCCACTGGGAAATCCCGCCTACCAGTGACTATACCCTCGTCTGCTACACATCCCTATCCACTGATGCCTATATAACCGCTATCTCCTTGCCTTTGTCCAGATTCTCCACCACCACCACGGTGCTCTCAACACCACCTCTAAGGCTGAGGGACTGATTACCTCATCTTTTGTATATAGTTCTACTGTCTTCTAATTATGTCCTAGAATCTGTATTGATAAAGCCACTGGATGGCAAAATGTCTACAATAAAGATATCCAGATGTTGCACATGTGTGGTAATCCCTATTATGAAGGCTGGGAGGCTGTTGAGGTCTTGGGCCCCTGACACTCATTGTATTGTCTCTTAGTGTACTCATGGTACCCCTGCTTTCTATTGGGAGGATGTTGCACTGCCTGCTGAGTCTTTTGCTTTCATGAGGAGTGATTTCTATGTGTGCGTGGCTGCTTCCCAGCGGCCACGCGCACACAAAGGCTCCCACACATACCATTCAGAGTCAGTGTGGCATAGTTTCTGGGCGAGTGACCATCACCCCAAGCATTCATATGAAAAATTTCGTAATAATACAGTGGAGCCTTGACTTACGAGTTTAATTCATTCCAGGAGCTAGCTCATAACTCAATTTACTCATATATCAAATTAATTTTCCTCATTTAAATTAATTGAAAAGCCATTAATTCGTTCCTGCACTCTGGAGAGATGAGAAAAAATACTTGAATATGATGCTATTATCAACTGTATGGCTTATTTATCTATCACAATTCATCTAATGTGACATAATAACTACATAAACTACATAAAAACCACCTGGTGGTTCACACTTACACTCACTCACCCATATGACTATAAGCACAGAAATACGTATCTTAATCTTAAAATAATGATTCCTAACTAGTCACAAGCTTGCCTGTGATACTCCAATATAGAAACTATGTATTGTGCCAAAACAAAAGCATTTACATTGCTAAACTCACAAACTAGTAATCAACTTACTCCACAATTTGTAATAATTTAGGGTTAAAAATTAATCTAAGTTTGCCCAAAATGCCTAGCCATGCTAGGTGTTCTAGTGGCCCCCTCTGTAATTAGTATTTTATTACAGTGGACCCCCGCATAGCGGACGCCTTGCATAGCGGACAATCCGCATAGCGGACGCTTTGTTCGCTAAAATTTTGCCCCGCATAGTGGACAAAAACCCGCTCAGCGGCCTTTGTCCGAGACGCGTCCAATTGCGCCCTCAGCCCCGCCTCACATGTTTCCCGCCCGTGCCATTTTAACCCAGCCACCTCCGCGGTAACATTCAAGCATACACTCGGAAATATTTTGTATTATTACAGTGTTTTCGGTGCTGTTTCGAAAAAAGTGACCATGGGCCCCAAGAAAGCTTCTAGTGCCAACCGTACACCTCAAAGGTAAGAATACCCTTGAAATGAAGAAAGAGATCATTGATAAGTATGAAAGTGGAGTACTATCACCGACCTGGTCAGGTTGTACAAGAAACCAAAATCAACCATCTCTTCTATTGGGGGCAAGAAAACGGGAATCAAGGAAGCTGTTGTTGCCAAAGGTTTTAACTTGTTTTTCGAAACAAAGATCGCAAGTGATGGAAAAATGTTGAGAGACTCTTATTGGTGTGGATAAATGAAAAACAGCTAGCAGGAGATAGCGTCTCTCAAGCGATCATATGTGAAAAGGCTAGGAATTGCATGACGATTTAATTAAAAAAATGCCTGCAACAAGGATGATGTGAGTGAATTTAAGGCCAGCAAAGTTGGTTTGAGAGATTTAAGAAGTGTAGTGGCATCCATAGTGTGATACGGCATGGTGAGGCTGCCAGGTCGGACCACAAAGCGGCTGAAAAAAATGTGCATGAATTCAAGGAGTACATAGAAACGAAGGACTGGAACCTGAACAAGTGTTTAATTTGTGAAACAGGCCTGTTCTGGAAGAAAATGCCAAGCGGACCACTTACTCAGGAGGAAAAGGCACTCCCAGACATAAGCCTATGAAAGACAGGCTTACTTTGTTTTATGTGTGCCAAAGCTAGTGGTGATTGCAAAATTAAGCCTTTATTAGTGTATCACTCTGAAACTCCCAAGCGTTCCAGGCAAAAGAATGTCCTCAAAGGATAATTTTTTGTGTGCTGTGGAGGGCAAACAGTAAAGGCCCTGGGTCACTAGGGAATTTTTCTATAACGGTTACACCAGCATTTGCCCCCAATGTGAAAGATTACCTAACTGAAAAGAAATTAGACCTTAAGTCCTCCTGGTGTTAGACAATGCCCCTGGTCATCCTACAGACGTGGCAGACGACTTTATGGGGACATGAGCTTCATTAAGGTGAAGTTTTTGCCCCCTAATACCACTCCTCTCCTGCAGGGCCCATGGGCCAGCAGGTCATTTCCAACTTCAAGAAACTGTACACAAAAGCTCTGTTTTTCAAAAGTGCTTTGAAGTGACCACAGACACTCGATTGACTCTAAAAAGAGTTTTGGAAGGATCACTTTAATATCCTCAATTGTGTAAACCTTATAGTAAGGCTTGGGAAAGGGGGTGACTAAGAGAACCTTGAACTCTCTTGGAAGAAACATGTGGCCAGAATGTGTAGACAAAAGGGATTTTGAAGGGTTTGAGGGTAACCCTGAGAGGGGTAAAACCAGTTTTAGGAATCAATTGTGGCATTGGGGAAGTCCTTGGGGTTGGGGGTTAGTGGGGATGATGTGGAAGAGTTGGTGGAGGAGGACAATGAAGAACTAACCACTGATGAGCTGATGATCAACTTCAAGAGCAAGAGGCCAGACCTGGGGAAACTGGTTCAAAGGGGGGAAGAAAATTGAAGGAATTGCCTACTTCAAAGATTAAGGAAATGTGTGCAAAATGGCTTGAAGTGCAAACCTTTTTTGATGAAAATCACCCTCACACAGCTATTGCAAGCCGTGCTGGGACTGTTACAATGACACTGTTGTGAA